CGCATAAACATGTTTAAACGCGCAATATATATATATATTGAAACAAAGAAAATATGAATCGCATCAACCTCTGAAATAGGGATTTCAAGATGGAAAATTCACGCGTCGGTGGCACAGTACTTACTTTACTTTACTTCGGCTATCTCCTACGGGAGGATGAGCCGGCTTCATGAACGTCTCGAATCATCGCTGCCCAGGAGCGGCAATTTGTAAGAGAGTTCATGAAGTTTCATGGGAATTTGGTACGAGTGATGTCCCCAGAATCGCTCGGCCTTTTGTTTGAGAGTGCAGCTCTAGCCTTTACACAACCAAGTGTGACCTACAAGGCAGTAGGAGTGGAGTAAGGAGTCCACTATCCATTGGCAGCCGATGACCGGAGTTCGGTTCATACGCCTTTTTGAATGGGGCCAGTCATCCAGGACATCCAACAAGCCCTTTGTCCATACGTCTGCCGGTGAGCTCCAGTGAGCTTCATACGCCAATCGTTGAAGGTTTGGAATCAGGGTTTAGCCATCTCCCCTAGACTGTCATCCAATGGACAGTCAACCCGGTGGAGAGCGCCAGGCATCCGCTTTCGCCCTCTCACTTCGGTGAAAAACACCTCCGCCACGTGAAGGCAGTGAGTAGGACTTCCTCAGGAGAGGCTGTGTAAGACGCCCGGTCATATGGGAGCATTTCAAGAGGTGTGCAGAGGGGTGGCCAACCCGCAGAGCAAGGCACCCACCCCCGACCATCCTGAGGCTTTGGAGGCACAGTGGTTAGGACTCTCGCCGACCATGCACATGGTCCGAGGTTCGAGCCCACGCCGACGCACATTTGATATCTATGGTCGGCCTGCGAATTTTGGGCTACCGATATCTACGCTGAAAATTCCATACTTGTACCAAAAATACAGTGTGTGGAATCAAGCTGTAATCAAAAATAAAATAAAATAAATAAATATATCCACAATGACTAAATGGAGATAGAGTAAAACTTATACATTAAGAATGATTGAAATTGGGACAGACTATGCTGGACTATAATTATCATTATTACAAGTAAAAAAATATCTGTTAGGACAAAATTCATTCTCTGTTATAACATATCAATTGGACCGGACATACAACTCGATAATGCATGCAATTAACTCAGAACTAGCAAAAAATTATAGATGCTATACAATGCATACTACTCGTTGATGTGAATACTTGTAAACAAGGTTTATCGTCACGAGACGATCGTTTTGGGTGTTCGCATCTAAGCCTATTGATTAATTCATCATTTGTGACAATATGTAATGCTGGCTAACGCGAAGGTCAAAAGTAAGGTGGTCCAAACAAAATTGATGCAGACATCAGATCATCGATTTCAATGTAGAAGCCGTTTTAACAGTGACTTAACTACCGGAAGGATTTTTTTATGTTCTTCAAGAAGTAACATGAGTATGTATAATGTCGATCTTAAGATCTTCATGGAAATATCTTCTGATGCAAAAGCCGCTGAAATAGAACAAGCCCCCAACACTCTGAAGGATAATCGGTTCAAGGGAATTTGTGTATAGGCCTGTGTTCGATCTTTGCATCGAAACGCCAAAGAAAAATGAAAGTTATTCTCGTAATATTTTAACGAATAGTGCCTTTTGTAGTATTTTTTAAAAACCATTTTCTGAACAATATTTTTCATAAACACATTCTTCTTTGCATTTGAACCCCACTTGGCTCAGATAACACAATCAAACCAAATAATATTTTTTTCTTTTGGTCAACAGAAACCATGGAAACGTGGTTCCAGTCTTACTTCAAAAGTAACAACATTAGCCCCAACAGGCTGATCACTGACGAAATCTCATCACGGATACAAAAGGCTCATTTGGGATCTTCGAACTTACACCATCTCTGGCTTAGACCTGATATTTAGCTGGTAATCAATCAAAGGATGTGTGCACTAATCAGTTGGATCGATTGAGATAACTAAGACACGTGTTGCGCATTCCAAGTCATCGCCTTCTCGACGGTTAATATTAGATGACATAGAATCAGATTAGAAAGGAGCCAGCGGTGGTCAAACTAAAACATAGAATAGATCCATGAAATCTTTAACAGTTAGTCTGAGCCATGTAGGGAAGTGTAGACTGTCTGACTGGTTGGAGTCCACCGGATTCTAAGTAGACAATTCGTGATATGGCTTGAAGTCATTCTCAGTGGCACAGATGTATTCACTCTTTGTGATCCAATAGAACCCCATTGTTTCTCCATGTTACTATTCTATCTCCCCCACATTTCTGGTTATTATAGTTCATTTTTCTCTTTTATCTTCCTTTGTGTGCTGCATGGTGTGGCAACTTGAAACGCTCTACTTCCCTGCAAAGTTCTGCGTTGAAACCAGTCAGTCAGGTCAAGACGCTGCTCCTTTACCTAGTGGATCAGACTTCAAGTCAAAGGCTGGGGAGTGACCCCTTACGACAACTACCTGCCTCAGTCTGCGCAGTAAGTATCCCAACCCTCGGATAAATTATGTGATTTTGCGTGGTGTATCTCTTGGTGCCCATTACGTACCAAGTTGTATCACTGGTCACAATATCTAAGGGGAAAAAAATTAAAAATTGAGGGAAAAACAAATCCTGGGTGGCAAAGAAGATTTGAAAAGAAAGTGTCAACGCTACAAACACACTACACTAATAGATGACCAAGGTGAATTAACAGTGGACATAAAACATGCATAAATACAAAAAGATTGTCTAAGATTAATACGAAACCGCTCAAGTTGCTATATTTTACAACACACATCAAGAGGGACATCAATCAATAGAAAAGGCGATAGAAGTAATAGATACCACAAGCCAAAAAGTATATAAAGAGAGAAAGAAGAGAATACTACTTCAACGACATTGTCCCATTTCATATTTCAAAACAAACAAAACACCAACTATGTTGAAAAGACTGGTTATTTAATTGAGTTTTTACTGGTTTAACTGTGCGTTCACTTTAAATATGAGATCAGGGAGATTTGATGAGAAGGAAGAAGTGGGTAACGTGAAATCACTGCTCTGTTTATGGAGATTTAAATAGTCAAACAGCCTTACCATGTCTTGCATGATACTTGTAATTTACCTCCTGTAGTACAGAAGTTATCTGTTAACCTTCCATGGTATTTACATAGGCGAAAAAAAAAGCAATTTCTATGAATTGGTTACGGGATTTCACCATGAGCTGACATTAGTTAGAGAACCATTGGAAAACCTGGGAGTACTGGACAGCTGTTTCGTCCTAGTTTGGGACTCTTCATCAGCACGCACCCACTGCCATGGTTCGAACCCAAGACCTTCTGGCTATAAGGCGAGCTGGTATACCATTAAGCCAGTGGGACCCGATCTAATGACCAGTGCATGAATTCTAACTTCTGCCAATGGCCGACATAGCGCGACCCCTAGCCAATGTCTTCGGCGAGTATTTGTCCTCACACCCTACCTGCTGCACCCTACTAGTCACGACTTCTCACTAGAACCCCAGGCAACTACCTACCTGAATAGGGCAAGTCGCTGGTGAGCATTTCATTGATATTCAAGTGTTAGTTTGTAGGGATCTGATTGGTTGCAGGTCCTGGGTTCGAACCCTGGCAGTGGATGCGTACTGCGAAGAGTCACAAACTAGGACGAAACAGCTGTCAAGTACTCCCAGGTTTTCCAATGGTTCTCTAACTAATGTCAGCTCATGATGAAATCCTGTAACCAATCAAATCCCTACAAACCAACACTTGAATTTCTATGAATTGATTGGTTGATCCTAAATGATGCAGGAAATTTGTAGCCCATGTGGATGTTTTCGAGATCGTTATGTTGTCTCTGAAGTGAACGGTTTAATTGTAAAGCTTCCATTGGGAATTTAGATGACATTTTCAAGATCAATTTCAATGTTAGTTTATTAGCTCAAAAGAGGAAAGGTTATCCGTTTTTATTGGATGGAAAGCATTTTATGATTAAATCTTCCACTGTTTAACTGTAGATATGTCACCTTCCACCCTTAAAAGGTATTTTGTGATAACTTGGCACTTTTCTTCATCTAACATTTCTAGATTCTACCAAATGACAACCAATCATAAGAAACTCCTCTACAGAGGACTAAACCACCCTATGCAGAAGTAACTGTCACCAGCATCATCAACATAAACTGTAACATACTCAAAATAAAATAGCAACTAACGAGGTTTCAGATAATAATGATAGAAAACAGCTTGTTAGCTACACAAGTGTGCATGTAAGCTAAGCTATGATCTACGCCTTTTTGTATAAATGTTAAGGACACTATCTATGCTTTTAAACTTCAAGAGGTAAAACGTGTCTCAACCTTGTGACTTATTACACTTAGGTGTTATGTACATTAAATCAACTTGGATTACAAACACACGCGCACACACACTTCAGAAGCAACATAATGAAACAATTAAAAGCAAACAGCCAATTACAATAAATGTAATAGAACACATATTCCTACATTCACAGTGTGTAATCCGATATAATCTGACAGAACATTAGGTAAACAATGAGCATACGCATCCCGTGACACTAATATTTAATAAGAGACAATCAGTGAATTCAGATGTATCACGCAAGGAATAACTATATACTTGCCTTTTAAATGGTTTGAAGATCCTTGTAAACCGATTGGCAACACAATGATAAGGCGAATATGTCATGCCTATACTATAAATAGGACTAAATTAAGAAACTTAAACCTTCTAGATATACAATTTTACGACGTCACGTTCCGCCGAAAGTTGCCATATCCAGGCTGCAGGAGCTCCAGAGCTCTTCGAACCATTATGAAGGCATGTATGTAGTAATTTCTTGCCTGATATATGTGAGCTCACTAATCGCATATATACACACACTCGTTGTGCACAAGTAAACAAGATGATAATAATAGCCTGTAAAATGAGTTACAACAGTGCAAGTAGTTTTAAAAAGAAACACCCCCGGAGAAATGAATCACTTAAGAACTTGAGAAATCATTGTTACTTACTAGGCCTAAAATTACAGTGTCAGCACCGCGAAGAGCTGCAACAGAACTACTTCGATGGCCTGCTTGATGCGCTCGGAAGAATTCAATCAGTTCAGCTTCCTAAAAATGAAGAAAAAGAAGAAGAAACAAGCATAATTACATAACACTTGTAAAGTGATATGTCAGGTTGTTTAAATGCATTAATAATAACGACAACGAAATAGACTAAATTTTAGGTTCAAAAGGTCAGATCAGATCATCACATTTGCTAAGGTATCTGCCTATAAAGAGAACTGAAATCCTTAGCAGAGATAAAATAGTACCAACTATTTTAGCATCAACAACACAAACGCGTTAAAGACCTCCTGTTCTATAAATAAGCCAAATATCAATGAGTGAACAGAATTTCGGGTTAATTGGGCTTAACAGACATATTATACATTGAGATAGTATAACTTTGTAGGTTTCTAGGTGAAGACGCTGACAAAATGCAGAGTCTTCTTAACACCTTGAGCTGCAATCTACGAATGTTTGGCATGTGATTCGCTCCCACCAAATGCAAGATGATGTTACAGGACTGGACCACACTGACTCCTAGATTAGAAATAGGAAGTGAAGTGGTAGAGAACGTTGTCCGCTACACTTACTTGGGAAGTACCATCAGCCAACGCCAACGGGTTGATCTCTGATGAAATCTCAGCACGGATACAGAGGACTAGTTTCGCATACGCCAGCTTACGCCGCCTCTGGCATAGACGTGATATCCGACTATCGATCGAAGGGCGGGTGTACTGCTCATCAGTCCGCTCCATCCTCCTTTATAGCGCGCTGCGAGACCTGGCCATTGAGAGTGGAAGACATGAAAAGATTGGCTGTCTTTGATTATAGGTGCCTGCGCTGTATCTCCCGTGTGAAGTGGTATAATAAGGTGAGCAATATTGAGCTTAGGCTCCGGTCGAGTGCTAGGTAGGCGGGAGGGGAGATCAATCGACGAAGCTGTGAAGTTACATCGACTGAGATGGTTAGAACATGTGTTACATATGACTAGTCTTCGCCTTCCCCGACGAGCAATGTTAGCGGATATAGGGTCAGGCAGGAAAAAAGCTAGCGGCGGTCAAACAGAAACATGACACCAGTCAATGAAATCTACAACAGTTAGTCTGAGCCACGTAGGACGGTGTAGACTTCCTGGTTGGGGTCCTCGGGACGGTAGAAATCTATGGTTGGAAACAATTGGTGAGGTGACTCAAAATCGTTCTCAATGGCTGGTGCAGATGCATCCACTCCTTGTGACTTATGATTTCCAATGAAACTACAATGTTCTTCGTTATTACTATTCCTTTGTCTCACACCTCTGTTTACTGTCTCTATTGTGCATTTCATCTACTTCCTTCTCTTGCTTTGTGTGCTACAAGGAGGGAGTGTGGTGACTTGAACTGTCGCACGTCGGTGCAAAGTTCTATGTCGAAAACTGACAGACAGAGAGACTTTGTAGGTAAGGTTCTGAATAAAAATCTTCTTATTCATAGTCATCTTAAATTTATCTCTAAAACGTTGATTTGTAGAGTTTCGAGTACTTGTGCAAGGCTATATACTACTGACTGACTGAGATAAGTAGTTGTATACCGCTCAGACACATTAGTAGTGTAGTAATAGCAGAAGGCAAGACACAGAAGCCAAGGTATATTTTCAAGTGATCCAACAGTTGTTTATATCTATACAGTTTATATTCGTTAACCAATCACTGAGCGAGTGTGATTTTGGTTTACATCAAACAATATGAAATGGAATATTCAAATACATATATAGTATTCTCTCTTGCTAATGCAGTACTGAACTGCGGGAATAGTATTCAGACGTTAACACCAAGAAATACAATGATTCTTATTGTGAGAATAGTATTCCGTTGGAACCCACTGTCTGTATCACACCACCACAGTAGTATTTCCTAGCTAGATCCAATTGATCTAAACACACCATACGGCCGATTTGTTTGGTATCTTGACTACACCATTTATGATATGAAGCAGATCGTTTATTGTGATGTGAACAATTTCAGTTTCCAACTGAAACTATGGCGATATTTTAAGTGAAGCAAGAAAGGATTATTTACTAGCTGATGACATCTGGATTTTGTGTAGCCAGTGGATCTTTCGTCATCTTTGTGCGTCGGTGTGGCACAGTGGTTAGGACTCTCGCCGACCATGCACATGGTCCGAGGTCCGATTCCCTGCCGACGCACACCTGATATCTTCGGTAGGCCTGCAAAATTTGGGCTACCGATATCCATGCTGGAAATTGCATACTTGTACAAAAATACAGTGTGGAATCAAGCTGTAGTCAAAAATAGAAAATAAAATAAATAGACTCCAGTGCTAGTTCCCCACTGAATAAATAACACCGAGATGGACAAAAGGCGTTGGTTAAGCATCAGTTTGAGGAGTTCTTCCTACACTGTCTAGTAAAATAAACAAAATATTCTACGTATAAACACAGATTCTTATGTACTTCTGGATAAGTGTACCAAGATAGAAACATAGACATAAATGTAGCTGGGGTGCTAGAATATCATGGTTATCCTTAGTGTTTAAATGTTAAAAATTGTTTAGTCGCAGAAACAGAAGCAATTTAAGGGATAAGAAATAGGTAAGGAAAAAAGTACAGTTCTTCATCGAAGACTGTTAAATCACTAATGTTCTTTGCATTAATTTAGAAATATCCTTAGTCATGAAAATATTTAGCATGAACGATCCTCAACCATCTAGAGCCATGACATCGACCTCTTAGGTGGACTTTTGGTTCACATTAAGCTATGACGATGGATTTCAAGAAATAAATTGATGCTAAACAGTTGAAGGTGGTAGACAGCATAAGTTGAAGAACTAAGTTTCCTGTTTATTGGCCCATTTGTCACGAAGGTGTATTCGCCCATAAACTTGTGTCACCCGGTGGTGCTGCGGTTTATGTATTATTATTATTTTATCCTCTAATTCCTAGAAGAACATAGGGCTTCAGCCACGCGTCTCCAGTGCGTTCGGTTCTCTGCCAACTTTTTCACCCTGCTCCAAGTCCGCCACACGCTTTCATCTCCCCTTCACATGACCTCCTCCAAATCACCCTTGCACTGACGACCAACTCGCCGCTTCCCTTTCGGGTTCCACTCGTGCAAAGGCTTGCCTAGTGATGTCATTTGATGGTTTCCTCAGAGTATGGCCAATCCATCTCCATTTCTTCCTGCAGATTTGTTGCACAATCGGTTCTTGCTGTGTTGGTTCGCTCCTAGAGATCCCATCCTGTTGGTGATCTTTTCTGACCGGCAATCTCATCTTGAATATTGAGCGAAGACAACTGTTAATGAAGGTCTGTAGTTTGTTTGAGGTGTTCTTTGTGACGCGCCAAGTCTTTGGTCCGTATAGTGAGTAGCACTGACTGACTTCACATTGGAGTTGAAAATTCGGATCTTATTATACTCATGTTGAGTGCTGTTAACCTCCACACAGACTTGAGAGTAATGATAGCTTGATATTCTCGTCAGTTCCATCAGGCTGTAGTTGAACCGATGCTTTTCAGGTAGGTAAACGAGGTTGTTTCTTTCAGGTTCCTCCCATTTATGCTGGCTGATTGTAGTCTCTTGTTGCTGTTGGTGTTGACCAGGAGTCTTCATCACCTCTGTTTTCTCTATGTTCACCTGAAGGAAGTCTTATATTTGATGCTTCTTCTGCCAGCTTGTTGCTTTTCACTTGCATATCTTCCAGTTTGTGGGAAATCAGACATATATCATCGGCGAAGTCCAGATCCTCCAAGTTTTTTTGTGTGAGTGGTGCTGCAGTTAGCAACGGCTAACATTTTGTATGTCTGTAATGAATAGAGTGAGTAAACAATGTCATACATCCAGTCCTTACTGCTGGCAGGACTAAATTCTTCCCAGATAAATTTGGAGGATAACTCGTTTGTTTTTCATCAACCTGATGTACATCGTTTTTTTCACACAGAAAAAAAAAACAAGGGAAAAACCGACTTAGTTTTGTTTTAATTCAGAAATTTCATCCGTGTTCAACTCGTACTAAAATATCGGGAAATTGGTCTATTCATTCAAGCAAATTTATGCGAATGAAGAAAATAGAACCATTTTGTTTTGTGCAATTGAAAATTTAACTTGAATCATCGTACACGTTTGTATGTTCACCTTCACAAAACGAAGAAGAAACACCAACAGAATCAAGGATAACAACACATGCACAACCTCGCGTGTGCTCATAACACGTGAACAGATAACTGAGTCAATCTATGATCTTTCAGATAAAATGAAGTTTGTCTAATACCCGGTTGGAATGATTGTCAGGTTAAATTTTTTATTTTATTTTTTTTATTTTTGATTACAGCTTGATTCCACACAGTATTTTAGTACATCAATGGAATTTTCAGCATGTGATATCGGTGGCCCAAATTTAACAGGCCAACCATTGATATCGGGTGTGTGTCAGTAGTCGGGGAGTCGAACCCCGGACCGTGTGCATGGTCGGTGAGCATCCTAACCAATGTGCCACCGAGGCACACGATAAATCACCTGGCCTTTATCATTAATAAATAAATGTTTTGAGTGAAGAGTTGCTTTCGATAACTTCTTCAGGCTCTACAGTTATAAATCGATGAATATTAGAATGCACAAATAGCCAATAAAAAGGCAAGTGGAAATTATATTAGAAATTGTAGTGCTACTTTTTATCTCATCTAGCGGATAGTGAATACCACGTCAGAATAGATGAACCATTTACGGTTGCATATCGAGTACTAAGCTATCTGCCTAAAGGTATACGAATACGTCTCCTAGCTATGGCTAAAGGGATTAATACCTGACCTATGTGTGCAAAAAAAAGGATATTCATCCTGTTTGCTTACCCTGGCCACTAGAGACTTAACCATTTCATATTTTCATGTTATATTATGCCTTTTTTATTCCTTTTTATCTAGTTTACTTTATTCCATTATTATTATTTATTATGTGTCAACCTTCGTAATTTACACTAAGCCAATCATGTCTCTAGTATTTTATTACAGTTCATAATTTAACCTCTTTATTTTATCACTAAACTTGATATCTGTAAGCCCTTGCTTGAACT